GAGGGGCTAGGGTGGGGAGTGGAGGAGCTGGAGCGCTGGGTGTACGGGCCGGGCGGGACCCGAGGCTCCAGGAAGGTGAGCGGTCCGGTCCAGGGATCCGTTTCTGGGGCAGGACAGGAGCGGTCCACTGGCCCTGCCCTCGGGACGAATACAACCACTCTGTCCCGTCGTCGTCGGCAGCCCAGCCTTTGAAATGGCAAAGATCCGGGACCTCCAGGAAAGGATCGGCCCCCTGGGCCCTGGGGTCCGTTCCCTATGGGATCGGGATGAGCGGGGGCGGATGTTGAAGCCTGTTTGAGAAGGGCTCGGTGACAACTTTTGCTAAAACTCCACCCTTGCGCTCACCGGCGCGCTAAGGAGACCACACAAATTTAAAAACCGATTAATGGGAGTTTCAGTTAGAGCTGAAGGTCGCAGTGGAGAGTGGTTCTGGAACCCTGAGAAATCAATTGCTAAATGAATTGCGCGGGGACAGGAGCCCTACAGGCTGAGCACAGGTTGATAAAGAAGCCTCCAAGGGATGAGAGTAGAGCAGGCCCAAACAAGAAGGGTTAGGAACCGAGTCCTAGGTGTTCAGATGTGGGCGAACGAACATACTGTCTGAATTTTGACAAAAAGCTTAGGTGCCCTTAGATCCCTTTTTTACGATGTGGAAACCGTTATTGGAACTTCTGATAGTGTCAGGAATGCTCTGGAGCTAACCACATCAAAGGTCTGTGTACTTTTTGTAAAATCGTCACCAGCAGATTGTGTTCCGCTTGAGAACTAGCTTTTCAAAAACACTCCTGATTTGCCTTTTATCTCTGGCTGCTACTATCAGTCTTATATGTGTGCAAACCCCCCCCCCCCCGTCTCCCCATGTAGCTGTCCTTTGAATATTAGTGTTCTTCACCTTCTGCAAAAACAAAAACCTTGACTGAACTCATCCATTTCCTGACCTCACCCTCTAGCTGACCCTGACTGTTGGAATAGTGTACTCTTAAGCCCTAAGCAGGCTCATTCGCTTTTGTAGTTTGTTACTTGTTTGGTGTCATCATGCCTCCAGTGTGTGTCTCTGTTCCGGATTTTTCTGTTCATCGAAACTTACTGGTGTTTGTCTGCTGTCTTGTCCTCTGGGATATTCCACAGACATCTCAAGCTCAAACCCTTAACTGTACTCAGCCCTAAGCTGATTTTCTTCTATGTTCTCTAAGATGAAGATTGCACCGTCTTTGGGATGCTAGCAAGTCTTCCATCTCCTATACCAGACTTGATGTAGAGGGAATGGGGCTAGAGGTAGGCCAACCAGTCTGTTCTCCAGCCTTGAGCTAAAGAAGAACTGGGTGAGGATATTTGCATATTTCACATCCAAACCCAGGACTTAGGAACCAGGAAATATATGGTATGTAAGAGTGCCCCATTAAACCTTAAACTAGTTCATTACATCCCCAATCAGACACACACTGCCACCTGCATCCTGCCAAGGACAGCATGATTCTGTCCCTCTCCTTCCACATTAAAGTGTTCCTGGAGGTGAGACTACTGTACTGTCTATAATGCAAGAGAAGGGAGACTAAATTATTGGAATTCAGAAAGTCTATAGAGACAAGGAGACAAGGGTTCTTCCATGACTTTTTTTTTTTTTTTGGTTTTTCGAGACAGGGTTTCTCTGTGTAGTTTGGAGACTATCCTGGCACTTGCTCTGTAGACCAGGCTGGCCTCAAACTCACAGAGATCCGCCTGCCTCTGTCTCTCGAGTGCTGGAATTAAAGGCATGAGCCCCCAATGCCTGGCTCCCATGTTTTTTTTTTTTTTTTTTTTTTAAGATAGGGTCTTTATTAAGTAGCCTTGGCTGTCCAGAAACTTGACATGTAAACCAGGTTGGCCTTGAATTCACAGTGATCTGTCTGCCTCTGCCTCCGGAGTGTTGGGATTAAAGTTTTACACCATTACATCTGGGTTCTTCTAAGTCTCGAGCCAAGTGGTATACCTTGGAGTTAACCTCTACCTCCTTTCAGGTGGCTGATGGTCTGGTCAAGGTGCAGGTGGCTTTAGGGAACATTGCCAGTAAGAGGGAGAGGGTGAAGATTCTCTACAAAAAGAGTAAGTACTTCTATTAGGTGTGCAGTTGCACTGCCTCCATGTCTGTCCCTGCCCTTCCGCTAGTACGTCACTAGAATAGCCCTTTGAGGATAGAAGGCATATTACTGCTGATATGGTAAGTTGGGGTGTGCTGTGTCCAGTGTCCAGAGTTGTAAGCTGAAAGTTCTTCCACAAAGGTTCCCTTAGTGGAGGAGGGGGATAGGGTGTGACATTTCTCTAGGCAAGGTTGGTTTAGCCAAACATTTTAAATTATTGTAGCTGGTAATTTTCTCAGTAACTAGAAATTAGACAAAACACTAGCTTGTCTTGTGGCATTGAGGAGAAAGGTGCCTTGGTGAGAATAGGTGAGTGGGAACACTAGGGGCAGGGAGGTGGCAGGAGCAGAGTGGTGTGGTGGCACTTGTGTTTCAGGTCCACAGCATGAATTCAGCCCACAGATGATGTTACTAGATGATCTGTGGAGCAGAGCAGGGGACCCAGTAGATGCTGCTGATCTCACACTGTGTGGTCAGCTTGTAATTCAAGGATCTCCTCAATGATTAGCGCTCCTCAAACTTCATTTTTTTTTTTGAATATTTATGTAGTGTGTGTGTGTGTGTGTGTGTGTGTGTGTGTGTGTGTGGGCTTGGTTGGAGGACAGCCTGTGGGAGTCAGTTCTCCTTTTGCCATGTAGATTCCAGTGATCAAACTCAGGTCAGCAGACATGGCAGCAGTTACCTTTACCTGTTGAACTATTTTGCCAGCTTCTAAATTTCCCTTATAAAATAAGGTTCCATTTCTGTTTTTTTCTATCCTGCTACTTTGCTAGTTGAAGACCTGATCAAATACCTGGATCCTGAATATATCGATCGCATTGCCATACCTGATGCCTCAAAGTTGCAGTTCATCTTAGCAGGTAATGCTAGACTGTGTGTGCCCAGGCACCTGAGAGTATCATTTGTGGAGAAGTCAGGCACTGATGGCTTCCCTCTTCCATCTTGTTATACATGTAGCCTGTCAACTACCTTCTTGAATGCTGGCCTGGCTCTGGACTGGGGCCCAAGGTGATCCTGTGAGTTTTGTAGTCAGCACTGGGTGTAGTTTACCTCTGGACCTGCTGTAATGCAGGCATATGGACACTACTTTGATATTCTATCAAAGGCCCATCCCTAGGATTTTCCTTTATAATCTTCCTCATTGAGTACTGGCAGAGAATCTTCCTGGAAGGAGTGGGCACAGAGAGCATCGTCATTCAGGAGAAGGCAGAACATTGGCACGAGTTGATCTTTTGATCTTTCCAGTCTGTATCCTTTCTCTTTGTACATGAAGTCATAACAAGTGCATAGGTGATAGGCTGTAGCTCAGGCCCCTCCCTTACAGTCTCATGCGTGTGCCTCTCTTGGGGGCAGCCTGCTGCTCCAGTTGGACCCAGGTGCCTTTCTCTGACTTCCTTTTTTTGATCATTTTCCTTCACTTGTTTCCGGAAGCTGTCTCACTCTTATAGTGTTTGGTATGCAGGTCACACATTAATTCTCTTGGCAAGAACTTTGCCCTTAACTGTCTACAACAATGCCAACAGCATGCCGAGTGACACTGCCGCTCTCCATGTTTTCCCATGATAGCACAGGGCATTCCTTTTTGAACAGTACCTATTCCTTTAATGTCTACAATATCATACTTATAGATTAACATGTATGTGGAACAATTTGTCGGTTAGTTGTTTTGTTTTTTTTTCCTTCCTTTTTTAAGATTTATTATTTGTTAACCATGTGTTGGTGTTTGTTTGAGTACAGGTATGTGCACACGAGTGCAAGTGCCCACAGAGGCCAGAGGCAATGTATCTCCCTGAGCTTGAGTTACAAGTTGTTGTAAGCCACCCGACTTGGGTACTGGAAACTGAACTTGAGTCTCTGGAATGGCAGGAGGTTTTTTGTTGTTTTGTTTTTGGAGACAAGGTTTCTCTGTATAGTCCTAGCTGTCCTGGAACTCTCTCTCTCTCTCTCTCTCTCTCTCTCTCTCTCCCTCCCTCCCCCTCCCTCTGAGACAAGAGTTTCTCTGTAGTTTTGGAGGTGGAAATAGCTCTTATAGACCAGGCTGGCCTTGAACTCACAGAGATCTGCCTGCCTCTGCCTCCCAAATGCTGGGATTAAAGGCGTGCTAGAGCAGGAGCTCTCAACTGCTGAGCTATCTCTCCAGCCCCACTGCTTATTTTCTAAAAGGCCTAGAGAACATACAGCAGGTTCCTTTCCTCTTTCCCTTTGTGTTTTCCATTTTGGCAAATTATGAAAAAAGGGTGGCTTTCACCGAAAGATCAGCATATTTCCCAGGAGAAAGCTCTAGGACTTCAGCACTCTAAGCAGAGGTTCTAGCCAGTCACTCATTCTACAGGTAGAGTTTTCTGAGCACCTGTATCCATTCATTCACCAGAAGACACCAAGATGGGCACAGTGGGCATGTATCTAGAGTCTTAAGTACTTGGGAGACTGAGGCAAGAGGACTACAAGTTCAAGGATAGCCTGA